ATGGTTTCGATCCAGGACAATCGAATCGATCGGCAACCACCCTCATCCACCGTGCTTGCATGAGAAAACTAAGAAAGAACGTTCACGAAAAATATACACCTCTCTCTCCCTTTCATACACACATTTTCTCACTATAGCTCTTTCTCTCCGTCTCTCATTCTTTCGCTCGCACACAGACACGCACGCTCAAACGCGAGAATCAAGGATCTCGCTGCTTCCTCTGGCTCTCTCCTCTCCCATGCGTGAAACGAAATTTCTTGAAACTTCTCGACGGATCTCTTCCAAGCAGCTTACTAAAAGCCGACTCAAGGATGGAGGCGAATTACAGCGAAACGACGACACGCGAATCGCCGCGTGCGCTTTTTGATTATTATATTTCAACGGGGAGAGATTCGTCCCCCCTCCGCCGGTCGCGAGTTTTATCGGGAGAATCGCGCGGCAATGTATCACGCTATCGGCCGAGGCTCAAAGCGAGAATCGCGATAGGGGCTCGCTCGCGGGGGAATACAGAATCGATTAGGGGGAGTTATTTCGTTATGAGATACGAGGCAATTATCTGTCATAATTACTCAGACTCCATTGCGGCTTGAATGGCGGTTAATTTACATAAGACCGATAGCATCTTACACGCCGCAGGGATAATCCCGCGCGAGGCGCACCGTGTCCCGACCGGCAAAGGACGATAAATCTTTCTCCATGTATACGGAATTCAACCCCCGACCGCGTGATTGCGCACATATGGAGCATTGTCTTTTGAGGACGTGCCAATTCTCGACGCGGCTAAATATTTTACTAATTAAAATTATATGCACCAAAAGTCACATTCGAGTGTGTTCTCGCCTCTTCTTTATTATCGTTTATAGCGAAAAATATCGCAGCACCCTCTACGGGCGCTAACAACCCCTTCCAACTCGTGTTTGATTTCATATTTTATTTATTTAATAATATATTACGTTAGAAAATAAATTAGTAATATGTATAATTATATATATATGCGTTCGTGATACACATATACATCATATGTGGGTGATAAGGACATGATAATGTTAGCCAGAGTATGGAAAGGGTTAAACGAATTAAAGCCGCGGTCGAGGGTAATTAATAAATCTAGTACGTAACTTTCTCAGTTATTCGCTGTCTGATTGATATTTGAGAAAAATAATATCTGATACGCTATTATATGACTAAGTTGCTTGCGAGGTCACCAATGATCGGCCGAAATCGGCGGGCCGTAGCCGCGCTTCTCTTCGGAGTTGCGTTGCACTATATCCGGTAGATTGAATCAACAGTTAAAACTCGCATCCCGACGACACGTAAAGAGTAGATTGGTACAAAAAGACGGTGAATTAATTATTTATAAGATAATGTAATAATGAACAAAAAGCACTGACAAGCTGCAAAATACATACAGAGAGGTACAAATAATCGGGAACAAATCGCAATCTTCGGGATTGGCGTGTCGTATTAAATTAAACTTTACGCCGTGTGTCTGTGTGTATGCACATGTGTGTACTCGTGTAGTTTTTTTTTACAAACGTTGCATACGCGCCGTATGCGATCTCATAGTCGTTCGGATAATAATCTTCTTGGCGCCGCTCTCGATCAACGAAAGGACTGTCAGCGACTGATTAAGTATCGTCAGTGTTAATTAATGCGTCACGCGGTTCTTTTTTGTTTTTTCTTCCCTTCCTTTCATCACAAACGCTCTCTCTCGTTTCCATCGCATTCTCTCGTTCTCTTTCTCTCCCTCCCTCCCTCTCTCTCTCTCTCTCTCTCTCAAACTTTCTTGATTATTCGCCGTGCGCATAACACTGTTCCGCGACTCTCTTTTGTATGCTTTCGTTATTTATATATGTATATATATATATAAAAATACAAAAAATAATTTACAAAATGATATTATAAGTTATATTACACGCGAGTTTCGATATTCAATATTTCGTGTCGGAGCCCCTTGTAAAGTCGCTCGACAAATTTCAAGAAACGCTTCATTGTCGCTTCGTCACACTGTTAAACAAAATATAATGTAGCGGTATTATGTATATATATATATAATCGATATTTATATATATATATAGGTATGTATATATGTATAATATATATATCTATGTATATGCACGTGTGTCTATCTATGTATATTCACGGGCCGTAAGAAACAGAGAAACAAATTCATCATTAACAGGCTAATGTAGTTATCAAACCACTGTATTATTAACAAAAATATATATTATATATATAATATGGTAGAATAAATTTATATATATTATTTCTGACATGCGACACGGGCGCGCCGGTATATATAATCAAATATCATACAAAAACAACAATAACAAACTATATCAAAAGAAGGGTTGAACGATAATCTTATAAGCGAGCTACAATTATAATATTCATATGTATATGTATATATATTTATAGGTAAAAATCAACGACGCGTCGTCGTCGATGTTGCGTCTTCGTACAAAAATAAAGGAACAAAATCTAACGAGCCAACAGAAAATACATCTCTAATACATACATATATATGTGTGTATATATATATATATGTATATGAAAACAGAGAAAGAAAAATTAACTGATAAAGAGAAAAGAAAAGAAACAAGGTGAGGTGAGAAAAGACCTATATATAGGCGCGCAGTGTGTCTCTCTTTCTTTGTCATCTAAGGGGTGGAAATAATAATCATAATTGTAATAGTAATAATCGTAAGTATACGATCTACATAACAATCATAGGCGTGCAAAAATCATTTGAAAAAATCTTCATTTTTCCCATTTCGCACCCAGGAAAAAAGTAACTAATGCGAACGGACGTGTCTTCACACTCCCACATATACATGCACGCACTACCATATAATTAATTCACACAGCCAATCGTTCCGTCTTACATGCATCTTTTTCTCTCTTTCTCTCTCTCTCCCCCACACTCGCGATTTCTTCTCTCTACAAATGGCGTGGGTTGGGGGGCTTTGGAGTAGGGGCAATTAACAGTTACATTTAGGATGCACTTACACGTAGTGTAACGTAGTTTTTTTTTTTCGACACCGAGAGTGTAACTTGGGTGGGGTACAAAAAGATCTCGCAGAAACTCTTTCGCCTCCCCAAGGGGAGCGATCGAAGAAGGGTAGTAATCGCTCGTTTCCGCTCGACGTGATTCGACGCGATGAAAGACAATTTTTCGCGGTTCCCCCTTTCTTCCCCCGGATGTTTACGTTTTCGCTCCTTTTCCTCTCGAACCGCGGTCGAGCCGGAAACGAGCGATTACGCCGATGAAAGACGCCGTCGAAAGTCTTCCGGAAGACACTGAAAAAATCGGAGGAGACTATTATTTTAGTCGATAAAGTCTCCATCCCAGAAATTTTTCAGGAGCAATTCTCTCCTTAGATTTTATCCTTTTAATTGCCTCCCTCAGCGTTCTCTCAAGAGATTCTCCGCGAGGCTGCTTTCATCGCCGCACCCTTCTTCATTTTTCACGCGCGGCATCGCGCGCATTAGAGGTGTGTATGTATATAATATATATATATAATATATGTATATAATATATATAATTATATGTATATAGTTTACATTCAGCAAGTAGTTAAAGTATTGAAAAATATATATGTAATTAATTACAAATCTAATTATCATCCTTTTGTTAATTCATTTTTACTTGGTAGAATAATCGATAGTTTCTTTTTTTTTTTTGGATCTCTCTTTGTATGTCCATGTGTGTGTGTTTCGTGTATATCCGTGTGACACCTCCATGCGCATTCGGCAGTATCAAAACACGCCATTTTGTTTCTTCCCTCTTTCGTTCAAGATGAGGGAAGGAGATCGATTCAATTATCTCGCGATGGCGTCCTCCGATACTCCTCGACGCGCATTTTACGATCTTTCGGGCTTCCCGCAGAGTCCGCTCTCGTCACATATATATCCCTCATATGTTCCACCGTTATAAATGTAAGAATATATATTATATTGCAGAGTGTTTGTTTATCGCTACCTTACACGACGTTACCACGGTTATTTGTATTTTTTCGCCATTTATGTAAGAGACAATATCAATCGCTATAGTTTATAGACACATGATACTTTAAAGACAGATTACTGACTTCTTTTTTTGTCTTATTAATTCTTACGTGTACCCGAGTGACTTCGAACGTGTGTGTGTGTGTGTGTGTATGCGCGCTCGCTTGTACGCATGTAATTTCTTTTGACCGTCCGTCTGTGTATGAGTTCGTGGACCGTGTATACTTATGTATATTTGTTTGTCTGAACTTTCCCTCTCAACGAATTACATTCATTACGGGGTATGGAAAACTATGCGTAACTTTTTTTTTCCCTTTGCTTACAAAGTGTTCATTACAATTGTATCGTAAAACGTATAATACTATATGTTTTTGTGTATCTCAATGTGTATGCTCTATCAGTATTAATTAGATTCACTTAACTTCTCTTTCTCTCCCACCCTCTCTCTCTCTTTCTCTCACGTTGATTCGCGCCGCCATATTCACGCCCCATTGCGCACTTTACGCGCGCGCGCGCCTTTTAGTTTAGTATTCTCCTTTATTTCTCGTCTTTTCACTTTTGTTTGTTTGTTTTAAAGAGTATACATCGTGTTTGATTCTTCGCTAATCTGAGCCTCTCGTCTCAAGCCGAGATCCATTTGATTCGCGACTTATTGCATTGAGTTGCCGTTCTTTTCCGCTCTCTCCATCTCTTTCTCTCTCTTTCTCTCTCGCAATCTCTACCCTCCCCGTTTCGCATTTTGCGCTCCGTCTTCTCCTTCCGCCACCCCCTTTCCGTCGCCCCCGAGTATAACATCCGTGGAATTCTTTGGAGCGTGAAACTTTCGGATCGCGTACCCGGCTGTAAGTTGTCGGCTTTCATAAACGCCGCCGGCCGGCCGGCCGGCCGGCCGGCCGGAGAAACCCGTTTAAAGTCTGCAAAGTTTCCGCGGTTGCAATGATTTCGAAAGTTTTTGCCCACCGACTTCCTTTCATCGCCTCCTCGACTTCAACCGTCGTCGTCGTCGTCGTCGTCCTACGTCCAGCTGCCTGAACTGTCAACGAGGTGCGACCGCGGACTGTCGAAACTTTCGCGATCCCACAGAGAAAGAGTCTCTTTTTCCCTTTCTCGTCTGGGATTTCCTCTCGCGTGCGAGATGTTACTTTCGGATTGCGACATGAAGAACACGACCGACGGATTTCCGATCTGATTTTCGCTGCCGCGAGGTGTGAAAAATCGTTCGTGCTACTTGAAGCCAATCATGCGCGAACGATTAGAAAAATTAGAATAAATAACTTTTATTTTTTTATGTTTATGCTTTTGTTGAATGACGTGGGGCGACGGAAACGAAGGGCACCTGCACGTCGACGCGAAAAAAACAAGATGTCGTAAGATAGACTTTGGATCGTTTGCGAGGCTTACTGACAGAACGCGGTGCGAAACTTGTCTCGATGCACAATGACTCAAGTGCGTATCATTAAAAAGAAAATAAGTTGACATTTACATACAAAAAGGATAAACTTTACAAGTCCATTTATAAAATCAATATATTATAGAATTTGTCAACATTTCGATTTTTTTAAATCAATCATAAATTTAATATTTTTGGGGGATTTTGAAATAGCAATCAAGTTGAATTTGATGATGAAATTATTGAAACCAATCCAGTAAAATATTAACCCTCTAGAAGCGCCATTGTCATTAAACAAATTTTTTTACTAACAAGTGTCTTACGAATAAAGATCTTCTGATATAATATTATAGCCTTGTTGATGGTCAGAAATTTTTTAACTTCAGTGTTTAATGCTACATATATTTGCATCTTCAATTTTTAAGGATGTATGTATCTCAACTCAAAAGTTGTGACACATATCCTTTGTTTGTCTTAATGCTTATGTAAAATCACGTTACTTAACTGCGATAAGGAAGCATTACGAATTAAATCAAATTTTTTTTACATATGCTAATAAAATTTTAATATTTATGCAAGTTATTTGGATCCATTTACTCATTTAAAAGTTATTTATCTAAAACTGTAGCAAAATATCGTAATTGCACTGCACAAGCCATTAAAAGTCAAATAATTTGTTGTTTTATTTTTTGTAGTTGGTTTTAGGACGAATTTACGATAAAATTTTTTGATTGATATTGGCTTTTTTGGCTGATACTTTTAACTGATGTTGTACAGTCAAAACATCCTTAAGTGTAAGCTAATCTATGTAGATCCCGAATTCCATTTTAAAATAAATGTTAACACGAATATGCAATGCTTGCTCCTAGAGAATTAAATGGAGATATTTGCGACAACAAATGATAAAGAGAAAATCGTAGAAACCAAATCGTGTGAGCAAATGTTTACACGCATTGAGGCACTATGCTGTAGTTCGATTTTTCTAGCGGCATCCCTTCCGTTCTTTCGGTCTACTACCTTCTTCGTATCATTTTCTCTTTAACAATAGCAGGTACTAGCATAGCTACCACAGTCGTACGTATCGTTATAATAGTTACAATTAAGTTTAGATATTACTAAAGGGTTCTGTTCTTCATCAGCGTCTTCTCAATGTCTACTTTAGTAGTTAGTTCCACTGTTAAAACTTGTTTCGCACCCCCTCGACCCGTCCGGAGACCATTATCCCGTCGACCAAACCCCGAGTGTTCGAGCCGACACAACTTGACTAAATTTCCAGCTACAACTTCTCTTTGGACCGAGATATCATATAAAAAACGATTCTTTAGCTTCCTGAAATGCACGACTAACGAGATCGAAAGTTCCGGCGCACGAGTGAGATGCAAGTTCGTTATTTACAGTATTTATTTTTAGGTACGATCTCAGATTTAAAGCGGATCTCACAAATCGCGAACTCGCCTCATCCTCGCACCGAATCCTTCGATTCGGACGCGTTCAGGGAATGTTCGTCCAGCATCGATCCACTTCGACAGCCCCAACCGAGTGCGAGGATAGTTTACAAAAAGGCCTATACAAAAGTCCGTAAGAAAGAGCGACTAAACATATATACTTAGAAATTACGCGCCAGACATTTACACGGCTATATTGACGCGCTACGAGGAAGTCGTAGAAATTAGTATCTAAGGATAGGACGCGCGGACGCGGTTGATCGGCAAAGCGGATCGACGCCGGTGCGGTCTCCGGATTGTCCTCGGGTCTGTATCCTTGCATTTTGTCCCACGGCCACAGGAATAACACTTTTGAATACTTTTAGCACCTAGTGCCCGCGGCCCGCGGCTC